AAAAGCAAGAATCTCAAGGGCTTTTCAAGGTTGTAATGTGGTCGGGTAAACAAACAAGTGATAAGTCCTAAAGCTAATCGAAACAAAAACTTTCATAAACCTAAGGGAGTAATTACTTCCACAAAGTTTCAAACAAAATAATTCCAATCACAATTCTTCTTCATCACAAGTTTCACACCAACACACATCACTTATTAACACAACACTATTCCATACTCTTTTTCTTTTCTTTTTTCAAAGCTTTTCTATTTTTTTTCCTTTCTTTTTCTATCACTTATTTTTCACATTTTTTCTTTCTTTCTTTTCTTTTTATTTTCAACCTCGTAGCAATCAACCAATAAATACACAATTGTGTTTATCTCCAACTTGAATTCAACCAACATCTTAGTGAATACTCCCTACTTTCTAAGGCACAGTAAAAGTTCAAACCAAAACAATGGTTAAGGATTCAAGAAAACAACGAATCAACATCCATGCAAAAAGGGGAACTAAACATTCATAGATAAACATTTAGCAAATACAACATGTATATCAATAAAAAGCTCAAAGGGGTTACTAATGATCACACACTCACAAGGTGAATTGACTATTTGGCTAGGTAGTTGTGCTCAAAATGAAACAAAAATGCCTTGATCCTTTTCTTGCATTCATACAATCAACACAAAACAAAATATTAAGCATAATAGAATCCAGTTAAAACAAGAATTATGACCTCCAGCATATGTGAACAATGGAAAGGTATCTCACAAAAAGGTGAGAACTAAAGTGATTCACAAACGAACAAGTATACAAAATAATAAATGGCATAAAAATCATAAAAATCTAAGTATAATTAATATGCTAAAGTATAGAAAGCGATAAACACATACCTCAAACTTGTACAAAACTTTAACAAAATCATTACCATGCATTCGCAAGTCGAAACGATCAAACTTGATAAATCACCTTAATATTCTACAAGTTATCGGACCAAAACTTGAGTCCAAACAACAACAAAAGAATTAGAAAAATAATACTCCTACAAAGTTTCAATGTACAAAATTTAAAATATTTACAACGAACAAAAATCCTCAAGCTACACACGACAAGCTTTCGAAAACACAAATTGACATAACAAAACAAATACAAATAACAATATGAAAATCGGGTGAAAATGAATTAACAAGTTGAAAAATGAAGATTTGAAATTCAGAATATTTCCTTATTTCAACTTGTTAAAACACAAATCACCACACACATAAACAAATACAAATAAACATGCTTGTTTTACGTCATAAGCTTGACGTGCAAGCTAGTAACCTCCTCTCGTTATGCCATGGTATTGTCACACCGCATAAACCTAAAGAAAGTATCATAGCAACCATACAACAAACGTTACGAAAACGAGACAATTCACAACAATACGTGAAAGCAAAGAAAAACAAGTATATGCACAAGTATCATATACAAATCAATATACAATTTCTATACAACATACACATTAATTACAAAACTAAAAAACAAAAGAATTATTGCAATGCGAAAACAATAGAACCAATCCCCGACAACAACATCATTTTGTTGCAGCTGTATAGCGGCAAACAAAAAGTAAAGTATTTAATTTTACCGGGTGATATAGGTTATATCATATCGTGTCCATGGAGATTGATTATTGAGTCGTCGTTCGACTAATCATTCGTTAATGAGTTTGAGTTATAATAATTTTTGTATGTAAGGTGATGGAATTAAAAGTTATACACACAAAAAAAAATTCATTATTTGAATAGGATAGAACTCTCGAGTTTTTATTTTGTCTACTTTATCAAATACTTAAACTTACTACCCAATTACACTTAACATTAACTACTCGTCAATATCATCATGTATCGCTCACACAGAGGTCATCTCTAACGCAGAGCAAGATATCAATCGTGTCGCTCTATGTCGACGATCTCTTAGCACAACACAAAACAACACGGAGGCATTAAGAGCCGATACCTAAGTGATTACTAAGCCTAAATCTATATCTAGAATCTAAGCCCAATAGATATTCATCCTAAGTCCGGATTCAGTCCGTCCATCTTTGCAACGACTCAAACCTAAACACTTAACAAGCTAAAAAGGATAAACATCAATACAGATTTATAAAGAAAGTTTCATACAACACCATGAGCAATAAATATACATATAATCAAGGTAAAGTTACATACAAAATCCAACAAATAATGGTTACAAAGAGAGGAAGAGGAGAAGAAACCAAATTTCCCGCGGTGTCAAACACGATCTATCAAGCTCACGACCCCGGATCGTCTATTTGCAAGCCATAAGTGTTGTTGTCTAAGCTCTAAATATAAAAAATGAAGGTGATGGAATTTGGGAACAAATACCCCAAAAACCATCCACCCAAAATGAAACAGAATGAAAGTATAAAAAAATTATGTTCTGCGAGAATAGCTCGGCGACATAAAAGAATCGCCCGACAATTTCTTCTATACACTTGGCCCAGGATAAGCCACGTCCTCAACTGAAACAAATATTTAACGTCGCCTGGCAACCTAATGCTTCGTCCAACGACTCTCTTTATTTTCGCTTGGCGACCTAGACGCGAAGCAAGGCAGAGGCAACATCAAAATTAGCTCTTCTCTCCCATTGTCGCCCGACGACAGGAATTTCGCCCAGTGACGCATGATAGTTCAGCAACTTCTATTGCTTCCACTGCATAATTTCATCTGGCCTCCAATCTTGGCCTTCTTCCTTTATTGATCCAAAAATGCATCTTGAAGCTTTTATTCCTATTGCTCCAACAATGCTCAATTACCTACAAAATGAATACAAAACTATCAAACAATATACTTTATACACAAAAATAAATTATACACAAACTAAACATATTTATACACAAAGTTGAGTTATTCAACTGATATTAACAACAAAGAGTCGATAAGTGCAACAAAAAGAATATACAAAATAACTACACTTTTGCACTCATCAATTAAAACTTGGTACCTCTTCTCCCAAAGACCAGTGTAGAGGTTGATCAAATTGCATGTTCTCTTCTATTGTGGTGATTCTTTCGCATAAGAGGTGCTCATTTTACTATTGCACCAAGTTTTAGACGTTTGTGAGTAGTTTATTTGTCCCTTGCATGCTTATATCATCTTTGAGTTGCTGAAGGCTTTGGAGCATCTTTAGTTTAGGGACTTATGATTATTGTTATGAATGTTTAGAGGTTTGACCTTGAAGTAAATGTTGGGAAAACTGAAAGATTGCCTTGATCTGGAATGTGCTTTGTCCGGTAGGCAGGGGCACAAAGGCTCGAGGAGTTGCAACAATGGGAGAAGTTACGAGGACTAGATTGGCTTCCCCTTTTAGAGGATGAAGAAATTCTCTTAGAGGATCTGTAACATTAATCTTCACCTTGACGATGGCAGTGCCGTTATGTTGGGCAGTTATTCAAACAAACTTAGATGCCACCGTAGTTGGTATAGATTTTTTATCGAAGATTGGAATGGGAAAAAAAGGTTGTTATGGTGGAGTGGTTAAGGGACGTTGTATTTCTGAGGTAATTTGTGGGAATCAAAAGTAGATTCTAATAGACATTGTCATTGTTCTAATAACAAAAATAAATATTAGTGATGTGTAATAAGTGAGTTCATTTGACATTGTTGTACGAGTCTACGATAAGGTAGAGTAGGGTATACTTGTAAGATTAACACTTCAACGTCCAAATCAATACTTAGGTGTATTTTGAAAGAGTGAGAATGAGATCATTCCTGTTATATTACGTGGAAGAGCTTATATATGAAAGCAATTAAAACCATCCTCATTTGGTCTGACGTGCTTCACAAAGGGCCTTTTGATTATATCTGATATTGATTAATGATTTGATAGATATAATCAAGTGTCTGACTCTCTAATTTCCACCTATTTTAAGCCTTTCATAATGAGGCTTTGGTTTAAACCCTTATAATTTATGAAATTTTACTGAGCCTTTAGGTGACCTGGAACAAATACTATATCTTTTTTGTAGATGCTTTCAGATATCATACTTAAATTTATATCATAAAAAGAAAACCATCATTTATAGTTATCCTTAAGAAATTTATGATAATGGTAGAATCTATATCTCAAAGGATGTTATCTTCAATTAGCATTGATTTTCTTATCTTGATCTTTTCAAACCTTCTGCTTTGAGTCTCAATCTAAATTCACAATCCAATTATATTCCTGCTTCCATTTCAAGTGTGTATCTCATTACTTTGTTATTGCGCATCTACCTAGATTTCTTAAAACTCAACCTAGAGGTCTCAATACTCATATTTCTCCTTCTCATTCCCTCTCACTAACTCAATCGCAGAATAATATCTAACCTATACCCCACACATATGGTTTACCACCCAATATTATTCATTTCAACTTTTATCTCTTTTTGGTATTTCTTGTCTTAAACTAAGAACTTTTGTAAAACATCTTCCCTTAAATACTCCCATATGCACACCTAATATAAGGATAATATTATAATGGCACTGCATTTGCGCTCAACTAGATGATTTAATTGTTTACTTATTAAATCAGAAAGTGAGAGTATTCATTGTCTGTGCAAGCAAGAATGATAACATGATTAACCTTATCTTTACTATCCAAATTATCTGACCAATGATAACATATAGAAGAAAAAAATGAAATAGGAATCACTGTCCCCAAGTTTGTCCAATTTTAAGAGATGGAATCTTTCGTTACCCTTTTGAGTTTTAACTATAAATCCACAAACTCATCACTAGTTTAGAGATAACAATCCATTCATCTTAGAGACATGTCTTCTGCAGCAATAACAGTACTAGCTTTGTTTTAAATCACTTTCATATACCTTTTTTATTCACATTCTTCTCAAATCAAAAACAGAAAAACATTAACCACAAAAAGATTAAACTAAACAAATTAAAAAAAGTGATTAATTAATAAACAACAACGACATGTAGAGCTAAAATTACAAACAACAATATTAAAGTGAACAAAAAATTTCAAGAACACCATAGAAGAAACATCCAAACCAAGTTCCATTGCAAGTTTATCTTTCTTTCTGACTCAAGTTTGTGTTCATTCCCAAAGTGTTCTTCCAACAAAATCATTTGTTTTTCACTAAGCTTCCTCTTTTTGTTCATTTTATTTGCAGTGTTTTCTCCAACTTTACTCTTCTTGTTACGTTTACGTTTTGGCTTCTTCTCCAGAAAAGAGTGGTGCATGTGAATAGATAGAACATTTCTTCTGACATCAGAAAGGATAGTAATGTTAAAAGTGTGGAAAATGCAAAGAATGTAGTTATGATTGACAGGTATGAATCTGATACGGATTCATGTGATGAGAATTTTACCTATAAAGAACTGGTAAATCTCTATAAAGATCTATGTGTGAAAAGTGAAGAAGTGTGTAAGATGAGTAAAGCGCGGAAGAAGGTCATATCTCATCTTCTAGAAGAAAAAAAAAATTCTATCTACAAATTCTGAACTTGAGAAAAAAGTAACCTTGTTAATCTCTAAACTTGATAATTGTGGATCTAGTGTTTTGGATAAAGTTATTCAAATAGGAGAAAGAAGAAAACAATCCACTAGTGTAGACTTTACCTATCAACCAGTGAATTATAAAAGTAAGAACTCTCTGACAAAACATGATGGAAAGAAGAGGATAAAATTGCAATGTCAGACAAAATGTTCCAACATCCTTCCAAGGGACAAAGAACTTGGAACAAAGCTAATTTTCATCCTTGGAAATATCATTTTTGTGGAAAGTATGGTCATATAAAGCCCTTTTGTTTCATGTTATATGGTTATCAAAGGCATTCTTCCCAACCTAGAGATAACTTTATAAAGAGGAGAATCAGGAAAAGAAAGAATAGGAAGAAGGATGCAACTAATCATGTCACATGTGCTTCTATCATAAAAGTATCTGAAGATATCTCGTGTTTGTTTTCCTATGTAAAGTACAATAATATGAAAATCAAGATAAACAAACAGAATTGTAAGGATATAAGTACCTCTAAGTCCAAGGAGCATCAAAAGTCAGAAGAGTTCAATGTCTCTTTAAAAATCTTGACACCATTTTGTGATCTCAAGGATATCCTGAATCAACGGTCAAAAAATTCAAATTGACTCTTAAGTTTAGACCAGTATAAGGAATGTTATTTTCACCAATTAATGATGCACGTTTATTTAGGTAAATCAGTGATTCCCGTATATATCCCTCATCTATATATTATTCGTTCTATCACTGTAATAGAGGGGGTTTCAACATTCTGTGTGAGCACTTACTTTCTTCAATCCTCTCAAGATCAATCATCTCACAAAATGAAAAATTATGATAGCTCTAGCTCTAGAGAGGGATTCCTGCAAACTTTTCATGTTGTTACACTTGTTGTTATCCCTCCTACCGGTGCTTCGCCCATCACTATGCCTTCAGCCGCTCCTACCAAGAAAAGAACAAAGATTGTTGCAGTAAGAGCATGAAGAACTCCATTGAAAGGTAAGTTTTCTCCTTCTGTAACCATCCTTGTACAAACTAAAAAGGATGAGACCACTAATACGCCTTTGAAAATCTATGATGTTAAACCTAATGTTAAAAACCATATCAAATAAGGCGTTGAAGAAAACCCTAATGTCTCTAATACTAAGTCAAATGATCATGACATTCATAGATTTGTCTCAAAAGTCTTGAGCATTAACCCTAATGATGAGACAGATGTTGCGACATCTTGCACAAAACCTAGATGTTTTACTCAGAAACCAAATATGGCAAGTAACACTGAGCACTCAGAATGTACTCAGGGTGAAAGGACCTTTAAAGATATTTATGTTAATGAATCCATGGAAGAAATGAAAACTCATTATGATCAAGAAGATATTGCAGTAGGGAACGACCACAATCCCGATGTGATCATTATTGATGATTTAGATTCTGATGACACATCTATTGATAGGAGAATGACTCCTAAAATATCCAAGATATTGAGGAATAAAAGAGGGAAATCTATTTACACCTCTACCAAAGATAAGAAACTGTTCAAGAAGAGAACGCTTGTTGGTCCTAAGAAAGGTTGGAGTAAAGTAGAAACATCTGCAGGGAAAGAAAGATATTTGAAGAGAAATCAAGCATTATCTAGTGACTCTGAATATGAGGAGGATGTTAAATCAAATGTTCAAGACATTGGTGCATCTGCTAGGAAAATTGTTGCAAGAAAGAAAATTCCTCCCAATATTCCTGATGTGGCTCTTGATAATATATCTTTCCATTCAGCTAGATACGCAGACAAATAGAGGTTTGTGTGTAAAAGGAGATTGGCTTTAGAAATGGAATTGGGGAGTAATTCTCTTGACTATAAGGATGTGATTATTCTCATTCAAGAAGCAGGATTGATAAAGACTGTAACAGGATTTGGTGAGTGTTATGAGACACTGGTAAGAGAGTTTATAGTAAATATTCCTAGAGATTGTGATAATATAAGAAGCAATGAGTTTAGAAAAGTATTTGTTAGAGGACACTGCATGGAGTTCTCACCAAAGTTTATCAACAAGTATGTGGGAAGAGATGAAAGTGATCAGGGAGAAGTGGAGGTCTCTGATGATATTGTATGCCAAGAGATCACTGCAAAACAGGTGAAACATTGGCCAAGGAAGGAGAAAATCTCTATGAGCAAGCTAAGTGTTAAGTATGTTGTCCTAAATAGAATAGGAGCTGCTAACTGGATTCCTACGAATCATACCTCCTCTATAACAAAAGGGTTAGGAAAGTTCATTTATATAGTGGGAACAAAGACCAAATTTGATTTTGGTAACTATGTATTTGATCAAACCATCAAGCATGCACTTTCATATGTTGTGAAAATGCCAATTGCTTTTCCCACACTCATTTGTGGCATAATTTTGAATCAATATCTTGGGATTTTAAAAGACTCGGATGAGATATGCAAGAGAGATTCATCTTTGTCACTGCACTATAAGTTGTTTACAGGGTCACGTGTTCAGGATAATGTTGGTCCAGTTTCAAGAGCATAAACAATTTCTGCACTCAAGGACACATGTAAGGAATTGGGTGAGACAATCAAGAGTTGCTCTGGAAGAAAAAATAAACTCAAAAATCTCATCAAGTCTTTGGAGGCAGAAATGGATAAGGGTGATATGGAAGAAGAAGAAGAAGAAGAAGAAGAAAATTTTAAAGTAGGTTTTAATGCAACTGAGAAAAACAATGAAGAAGAAGAAGAAGGGTGATTCATTTTTTTGTATGCTTTGTGTTCATTTTCTCTGTTTCTTTTTGTCAAGATTTTGGCTAAAAGGGGGGAGTAAAAGTCTTGTGTTAACTATGGTTGCTTCTTGCAACTATTTAGGGGGAGCATGATGTTTCATATTGATTTGTGTGTGTGTGTGTGTGTGCGCACGCGCGCTTCTGCTGCTGCTACTAATGTAGCTATTTGTGCAGGATGAGGATGTCTTAGCAGATGTTCCAACATCCCGTGTCTATGTGTGTTGAGAATTCTGATGCTCAAAATTTCTCTTCTGATGTGGGTTTTTCCTTTAAGTGGCATAACCTATTATGTGTGACAGGGGGAGTATTGTACCTCTCTGATTTGTAGCAGTTGTAACTATGATATATATCTTTATGATGTAGCTTGTTTTTTTATTTGTGGTTTTATTCCTCTCTCCTGGATCTTTTGTGCTAAGAGTGTTTTAGCCAAAATTTTCTAAAGGGGGAGATTTTTAATACCATAGTTTTGAGATTGGCTAAATTTTCCAAAAACATGGTTTTCCATAATAGGTTTTGTTGTTATGTGATTTTCAGCCATATGTCGAAGACAATGTCATGACATCTTGGTCTGGTGCAACATGTTATGATGTTTGGTTTATTATTGACAAATTCAAATAGATTCTGTGAGATTCCTTTTGGTTTATCTCACTGATTTTTTGGAGGTCAAGGATATCTAAATATGAAACAGATATTGTATCTCCAACTATACACGGGTTGCTATAATTGGTTGATTAAGACTAATTAGGAAACTGTGTGTTTGTGTTTCAAGATTCAAGGATATTTTTCCACACAGATTGGTGCAGCCTTCAGCTAGTGTAATAAGGAATATTTGGGCGTAGATGCAAGGCCCAAGGTTGCTTAAGAGTATTTATAGAAACTACCTAGACCTAATATGTTCAAGAACTTTGTAAAAATAAGGGGAAGCCGGATTTTTTTAGTTTTGGGTTTGAGGGTTATTCAAGGGAGTTTCAGGTTTTTGTACATCCTCGTGTATCTCTGATATATTTGAGTTGACTGATTGTTATTTGATTGTCAAGTTATTGTTCTCCTCGAAGTTGTGAAGCAAGAGCTGTGTATTGTTCTTGGAGGAAACTGTTAAGCAACTCCTAGTATTTATAATTTGGAAGTGTGTTCTTCTTGTTTTTGGTTTCTTGAGACATTCTCTGGGACTGGGCGTGTTTGTTTATCACTACGATGATTGGAAGTGAGATGGAAAATTCTAAAATCTAGGAGGTGCTTAGGTAGAAGTTGCACTGGATAGGGATTAGGCGAGAAGTTGTAAACGGGGGAGTTTAGCTTAGAACTAGTACTACTGATAGTGGATTTCCTTCCTGACTTAGTAGCCCCTAGAGTAGGTGATTTTGCACTGAACTGGGTTAACATATCGTTGTGTTCTTTTACTTATACAAGTTTTAAATTCTGCATTGCTATTGTCCTTTTTTTATTCTGTTAATAGATGTCATAACATATGTCATAACATTTGTTTGTACGTGGAGACATCAGTCTTGACATCTATATTGTGTGTGCTAGAATTTCATGAACCATGGAGATGGAGTGAAAAATAGCTATAGCATTAGTATGCAGCATACAGTTTAGTTGGTGAACAGGGGCTTGTGTTAGGGTGTTTGGTTAGAACTAGTGATGGTGAGGAGTTTACCATTATTGTAAAATTGCATATATGGAACACTGAAATCAGAAACAAAGATCCATAAAGTTTACAGACATTAAACACCAAGGACCACATATGCACGTTGAATAGGGAGGACATAAATGGGAACACGGTAAAAAGGTGTTGATCAACCATTAAAGGTGTTTCTTTGTGTAGCGGTATAAATGTTGAGACTAAGCCATTGGATTGACTTGACTCGCACATATCAAATAAAAATCGCCACCGCGCTTTATTGTTTCCAGAGGAATGGGAAAAGAGCGAATAACTCAAAAAGAGAGGGGAGAGAATCTAGGTATGGGAGTTGGTTATGCAAAGGGAAGGTATTAACACCCTAAACATTTACGGCACTCCGCAGAAACCTCTTTGAGAATTTGTGTATTCTGGCTATAAGTGTTGTATAAAAATAGATGGTGGAGATGGAAAACGAAATATTTTTTTACAATTTTTGCACCTGTCGCGGTTGCAAACCTTTAGTGCCTACGTACCACCTTTCGTGTAATAGGGGGCCAGGGTACTCGTAGTTCACCTTTAAAAATTTAAAACAGATGTGTGTTGGTTAATTTTAAGAGACGAAACATCATTGTCATATCCGAATGAAAGAACATACTACCCACGATTATGAGAAAGGAGAATTTGCATCATCTCAAAGTGGAGGATGTAGCTTAGATTTTAAAATCAACACAGCCTCACTCGACACCCAAGTGAAAAATATCTCACTTCACTATATATCGTATAAGTATAGTAGCTCATATCACTTCAAGGGTTGACAAGAGTCTAATCTTTTGAGAAAATTTTAAAGTAAAAAGCTAAAGTGGAAAAATGGTTTGAATGAGGTTGATTGAATTTTAGTTTTCTCATAAAAAATGTCAAAGTATGGTAAAGTTGATTAAAGTTTGTTTAAGAAAATAATTTTGAAAAGGGCATGGACCTAAGTCCAAGTTTATTATGAAAGTGGTTCAAGTTAGAAAACAAGAAGGGTTTTGAAAAGGAGGGAGAAGATTTTTGAAATTAAAGAAGATGGGAGGAGATGAAGGGACTATCCTAAAGCATAAGGTAAAAGCCAGGGAAAATAACTGTCTAACCAACAAGAAGCCAACACTTTACATATGAAGTCAATGTAAAATTCTCATCCTTTGAATTGAAACTAAACAAGCAAAGATATTAAACCTCTTAAGAATACCAAGCTTCAGATGCATTAAGTATTCACAAAAAAGAAAATTAAAGGCTCAAGTGAGCAAAACTAAAAAAGACATAAAGATAAATGCTCAAGTGAGCAAAGATAAAAATAGCCTGAAATGTAAATTCTAAAGTAAATGGTGCATAAAAATAAAGGCATAAGATAAAGGGCATAAAGTAAAAATACATAATAAAAGTCAATTGTTAACGAGTTAGAAATTAGAGGTTATTTGAATTACCATCTTGAAACTTGCATTTGAAAACTCATTAGAAGATTGATAAAATCAAAGATTCTCAATAACAAGTTTCATTTGCTTTTTGCCAAGTATATCATTCATTTTAAGTTCTTGAGGCAACAACAAATGATCAACAATGTTTAAATGGTTCACTTATACCAAATTTTA